ACAAAATCGGATATTTGGCCGCCAATATATGTTCTTTATAAACACACTTTTTAAAACTAAAACCATCTACGGGCAACATTGATACTTTGAGTACTCACTCCCAACTTCAAAGGTTCTTATTAGTCCTCCTTGTTTATGCACTTGTTAACAGAATTGTCACAACTCAACAAAACATTGCGTTTCTAAATAAAATTTTATAATCTACTCAAAACCCAAATAAAAACATGTTCAAACATGCTTATTGTACGTGCGTCTTCATTAAAATTTATATAAAATGTACATATTTTTATTAGCATAAAATGATATGAAAACAACAACATCTGAAGATTTCAAAAACTATTTTGATGTTACAGTATTACATGAAAATTATAATTTCACAGTAGAGAACTTATTAAATTTCAACAACACGAAAACATGCATTCATAAGAGTCGCTCTTAGTAGGCCTAACACTTATACATAATTTTTTTTTAGTATTACTTTTCCTCCTCTTTATATTCATACCTAATAGACGGACAGACATTCGTTTTCCTAAGTAATATTGTTCTGCTAGTAGAACATTTTGAAATTCGACAAAATACAAAGAGTTTGGGTATTTCAAAATCAGGGTCTAAAACTAAGGAAAAGTTGTGTACAAAATTTCCTTGTAAACAACATTTTCAACATTTACATCTCGGGGACAAAGTTTTAAACGATCGATATGACCGTACCCTAAATAAGGCTACCTAGAGTTGACCGTGAGAAAAACTTGGCTCAGCAACTCCGACGGACAGACGTCCGTTTTCCCAAACAGTAACACGGTAAGATGAAGATATAAGTAATAATTTCCTGAATTTTATATGTTATGACTTTCAAAGGTAAGCTATCAGAATGTTCATACTTTTTTGACTTCTTTCCGTCTTACGAAAACCTCTTTTAAACTCTTTCAAAATATAAGTAAAAAATGGATAATACCGTTTGTTGTTAATCCCTTGGTTATGTTATTACTGTATTATAATTGGTACAAAAAAGTGATATTTTTGTTACCAGTTCGACAAAGAAAGCATAGAAACACACACAAAAATATGTTAGTTTGATTACCTTTTGATGAAATATCCATGAAGCTTTGAAGAATTAAAATACGTTCTTTTGTTTACTTGTTTGGAGTTATCTTGGTAGCTTAGGAACACAATCTATAGTACAATGGTTACCTGTTTGAAGTTATCTTGGTAGCTTAGGAACACAGTCTATAGTACAATGGTTACCTGTTTGAAGTTATCTTGGTAGCTTAGGATCACAATCTATAGTACAATGGTTACCTGTTTGAAGTTATCTTGGTAGCTTAGGAACACAATCTATAGTACATTGGTTATCTGTTTGAAGTTATCTTGGTAGCTTAGGAACACAATCTATAGTACATTGGTTACCTGTTTGAAGTTATCTTGGTAGCTTAGGAAACACAATCTATAGTACATTGGTTACCTGTTTGGAGTTATCTTGGTAGCTTAGGAACGCAATCTATAGTACATTGGTTACCTGTTTGGAGTTATCTTGGTAGCTTAGGAACACAATCTATAGTACAATGGTTACCTGTTTGGAGTTATCTTGGTAGCTTAGGAACGCAATCTATAGTATATTGGTTACTTGTTTGGAGTTATCTTGGTAGCTTAGGAACGCAATGTATAGTACAATGGTTACCTGTTTGAAGTTATCTTGGTTTAGGAGCGCAATCTATAGTACATTGGTTACCTGTTTGGAGTTATCTTGGTAACTTAGAAACAATGTATATTACCTTGGTTACTGTTTTGCGTTATCTTTGAACCTGAGAACCGCAACATAATACTTTGTTATGTGTTTAGAATTGCCTTTGAAGCGAATATAAGGTTTTGTCTTTTTAATTTCCTTTGTTTTTAATCATGTTTTGCTGTGTTTCATTTTGTAACATTTCGTTAACGTATTTCACTGACTCTTTATTTATCACGATTGCGCATTAAAGAAACCGTTAAAAAAGAAAATACTCCTAAAAGCTAGATATGTGTGTTTTATTAATGCGTTTAACAATAAAATTATTAAGGTTTTTAAACTATTAATTCTTTGGTTTATATTTACCTTCTAGTTAGGGGCGACATTGGGGACCGACTGGACCCCCTTCTTTCTCGGCTCGGGGCCCGAAGTTTCGAGTCAGATCACAAATTACGCTTTAGTGAAGAGACCTGAACTGAATTAGGGAACCCACGCGAACTTAGCCTTTTTTGCCCCCCTCCCCAATTTATAACTGTTAATGTCTGTTTGTGTCAAGATACAAACAAATGCAGTTATTAATTAAGTGGAAATATCAGTATGTTTAACAAAATAAATATTGAAAACATCGAATTACATAAACTATCTCCAAATCTTCCCTGGGGTCTCTCTTAACTATCTCATAATCTTCCCTGGGATCCCTCTTAACTATCTCATAATCTTCCCTGGGGTCTCTCTTAACTATCTCATAATCTTCCCTGGGATCCCTCTTAACTATCTCATAATCTTCCCTGGGTCTCTCTTTTTCTAACTGTGTTTAGAGGACCTGCTAAATATCAACAGATGCTATTTCTCCGGGGGAGGGAGGGGGGTTGGGAGGGTGTTCAAATTTCATACTACCCCAGTCGCGTTATTGTCTGAGTCATAAGATGTCTTTACTTGCCAAGGGTAGCAGCTGATAGTGTACTACGCTTTATATATTGTGTAAAAAAACAAACAATTCTCAGTCTTGACATAGCACTCGGTTTATGTGTCTTTACCTGTCGTTTGTTGTTACAATTTCACAGATTACTATTTTATACGACTATCATTGGTTGTATATAATACAGGTGAAAACGTTTGAGTCAGGTCTTCAAAAACTTTTATTAAAACATCAAAGTATTCGTGATATGCAAATATGAGGAATCCTGATGTTTATATCTATTTAAAACAAAATTCTAATTTGCTTTTCAAAATAATTCTGCAAGTTTAAATGTCATCATATTAAGTGAATTGTACAACCTGAAATAATATCACTCTGAAGCTCGAATATAGATACTAGGATTTAAATAACATTTATAAAAATGGCTTATATATGTTTGGCACAAAAGTCGCACTTAAGACGACCTTGAAATTGGCAAAAGGTCCTTACGCTAATTAATGTACGTTTGATTTTTAGTAAAATTAGTTGCCAATATCTTACTAAATGTTTATAAGAATAGTTTTATGCTCTACTTGTTACACGATGTTCTAAATGTCACACTTATATCAATTTTCAATGATAAACTGGTATTAAAATATAGAAAATTAAATTCCCATTGTAGCTTTATTACACATGCATAATGATTTTAAGAAGGCAAAGCCACCTAGAAAATAATTTTATCATTCAGTTAAAATTTGTTTCCGTAGGTCAAAGTTTTTCATGAAGTAAGATTGTATTTTATTTCTGTTTTTTGACATTTTATATTTTAGTTTTTTGTTTCCCTTTTTTATGTTAACCGTGTTATAAGGGAAACCAAACACTATTTTCTATTTTTTTCTAGTTTCTATTTTGTAAAAAAATTCATTTTTTTTTGTCTCAATAAATCTTTATATCAATCTACAATCCTTTAACGAGGTGTCTTGTAAGTATTAGGAAAGAGGTTTGGTAAACATTGATAGTCCTTATAATTTTGATAGCATTTGTTTTGAGTAACATTTTCCTTCATTGGATTATTGCGGACTTCAAACCAAAAGTTTTAGATGCATTACTTTTGTGTCACAAGTCCACAGGATTACAGATGTAGGTTATAGTAACTGATGAGTTTTAGTATAGAACAAAAACTGTCTTTGGTGATGATTTGTGTTAAAATATAAATCCAAAATGTTACTTTTAAATACCTCTAATTTGAAATCTTAAATGGACAGATTTTTATAGGGTGCTGTAAAAGAATCTTTAGTCAAACGGGATTTTAACTACAAGTTAAACTTAATAAATTTCATCGTTTCTTCAGTCTCGGCATTTTACAGAACATACGTTGATATTAACATTGTTTTCAAAAAGTGTTCTACAAATAACATGAACCTGAGTCCAGGATACATTTTCATTTATCATCACGCAGAAAATGCAATGAGTTTTTGCGTATACAGGTATGAACATACATGTATTTTGTTTGACGAAACTTTTCGTGTTATCTCACCATTCCAACATTGATTTCTGGTATCAGGAAAAACGTTATTCAAATGTGTTTTATCTTTTTATAATTTGACGTAACGTGACAAACGGCTTTATAAAAGTTGGTTGTTGATGCATTGTGTAAAATCATCAGAGTTTGAAAATGAATAACGAAGGCCTAGTGCAATTTATAAAACATCTTATGCAATTATGAGGGTTAGTTCAGGTAATAGGGAACAATCTCCTCCCCCCCCCCCAAAAAAAAAGGCTGGAGGTAAGATGGTGCTAACTAATGGCCAGAGTAGCAGGTTGGAACCAACGAAATCGGTTTACTAGGGGTGGTGGAGAGGGTATAAGACAGAAGGCTAAAGATCCGACATTTGTGGTTGACATGCATATTATCGAACAGGTTCGTGAAATGATGGATGCAAGTGGGCAGGTTTGTTAAGGCACACACCAGTCAAACAGTCACAGAGGCGGCATTCTCAGCAAAGCTGAAGTCTTGACGTACAAAACGACGAACGGTGTTTTCTTAAGTCTAGCGATGCGTGAGCTTCCTACCTATTATCGGCCAAGCGTGCCTGCGGGCGTTTGTGCATTTCAATCTCGTCGGCAAATCGTCCAGCCCTCGACCCGTCGAATGCTATTCCCCATTTTACTGTCCTCCTCTCTCTCTTCTTCCCGAAGTTTCTACCCCTATGTGCTCTCTCCCTCCCTTACCTGAGATCACGTGCAAGAATTCCTTTGCTTCTCACAGCAACCTGTCCTGTATAAAGCAGCTGTACAGATAGCACGCGCGTCGGGCCAAATAGTCTCGCCGGCAGCGACAGGCTGGTGGAAAGCCACAGGTACAAGAATTACAACTACTAGCCCAGAGGGAAGAAGGAACAGTGCCCGCTCGCGGAAGACACTGTTGTTGTGTTTGTGGTATCGCATGGTTTACTAATTTTTTGCTCCTGTTAAGTTGATTTGAATTTTCTTTTCCGCCCACGCATTCGTGCGTATCAGCATTTTATCGTTTTATAATTACCGTTATCAACACTTCGAGATATCGAGTATGGCCCAAATTAGTCCAATCGCACCTGCGGGCAGCCCCAGAGGGCAAAAACGGAAAGATCCTGAAGACACTGACGAAATGGCGGACCAACTTTCTCCTGGCGAGAATTCGAAGAATGACCTTCCCTCAGCGTTTGTTCTCATTGATTCACCAGAGGTAGTTATTTTAAACATTTTCTCACTTCTTGTTATAGGTTTTAAAACTGATTATTTTCTTGAAATTTCGCTGCGTTTACTATAGCTTACTATCTCAAATTTTCATTAAAGTCCAAACATTAGCTAGTTCCTTGTATGTGTTATTATTACCTGGTGTATAAAACATGGGTCTATGAGTAAGACACGCTTTTTTCAAGCACTTTACTAATAATTATTAAGTGTTACCAGTATTTCGACATATAAATAATTGCTAATTACTGCTCTTAAGTTAAACATGATTTTCCTTCTCGTGAATACACTCGACTTCAACTCTTGGTAATGGTGTTGCCAAACTTAGTTGACATTGTTCCTAAAACTAAACAAAGATCTAGGACAGTTTACGAAGTAGACGTTATCGTTTTCGTTCGCTTGAATTTGGTGGCACGACCGTTTTAAAGATGTTCACCTTGTACTTGCCTGTTTTACTCTGCGATTGAAAAAAATTGACTAATAGTATGCCATGTGCATCACAGCATGTATATATCTCAGTCTTACTAGTATAGTAATAATCAGACTGGTCCTTCTTCGATAGCGTTAAGCATGCTTACCGAATATTATAACTATAACTGCATTACGGTAATTGCTGCAACATTTAAATTATTTCCTTTCAGGCCTAAGAATTATGTAATTGATAGGCATGTGTTCTAAAATCCTCTACAAAAATTAGGAAGGAAAATGTCAATGTCATAAAAAAAACGTGTCGTTTTTTTTTCAACTAAAAAAAAATTTTTCATCTTGGTAAACAAACGTGTGTGTATATATATCCAGTCTGTTAACATGTTCAACATTCACTATCATTTGAACTATTCAGGATTGTAATGAAGCTATGGTAATTGATATATTTTGATTTAAGCTATAGGTTTCCGTTTAAATTAGTGTAGATTATTTTTATGTCTATCTTTTCCTGTAGTTTTGCGCTTAAAAATAAACACAAACTGTTTTTTCTAACATGACATTTGACTTGTATCAAAGTGGCAGTTATCACTTTGGAAATTGTATTAATGTGCAGGCGTTAGTTTTTGTGATTGAAGTTAAAAGGTTTTGCTCTGTTAGCTGTTTTCAGTAAAGTACATTGGTTATGTTAAAGTGAGAGATGTGTTAAATATTCAAACAACTTTGTACATTTTTGATGGCTGTTTGGTAGCCATTTTGAAATATTTTGTGCGTATTACTTTTACTTAAATTCTAGTAGAACACGTCGAAATTCGTCAAAATATATAGAGTTGTGCTATTACTCAATTCCCATCTAACCACACAAAATCGAACATTTGGCCACTAAAATGTGCTCTTTCTAAAAGTTCTTTTAAAACTAAAAACTGTCTTCGACAATGTTGATACTGTAAACAGTCACCCCCACCTTCAAAGGTTTTAATTAGTCATCTCTGTTAATAGCAGAACCACTTTATAACACCCCTCCCAACGTTTGAATTAGTCATCCATGTTTTTGCAATTCTTAATTAACAGAATTCTCAGAATTTAACAAAACAATGAGTTTACAAACAAAATTTTAGAAACTTACACGGCAAACTTATTCGAAACTCAAAAACAAAACATGTTTATTGCACGTGTATTTTCTTTAAATTATAAAAATGCAACATTTTTATTAGCATGAAGCAACATAAACAATACTCTCAAAATTGGCTTTTAAAAATCATTTTGATGCTACAGCATTTCATGAAAAATCGTTTTTTAAAAATGTTGACAACACATGCACAAAAATTAACATGCGTCCATAAGAGTCGGCCTCAGTAGGCCTATACATATAAGTTTTATTTGCTTATTTCTTTCTCTGTATATTCATACTCAATGTATGGACAGACGTATTGTTTTCTCAAATTATATTATTCCTGTTTGTAGAACGTGTCAAAATTCGACAAAATTTATAGAGAGTTGTGATATTTCAAACCACGGTTTAAAACGAGGACTATCGAATTCGTATTAGAAAAGCTATTTACAAAACTTCCTTGTAAACAATATTTTCAGTATTTCCATCTTCAGGGACATAATTTTTTTTCCGCTCCAATGGCTGTACCCTGGATAAAACTACAGAGAACTAGCTGACCGTGAGCTAAATTAGGTGTAATCCCGACGGACAGACATCCGTTTTCGGATTCAGTTAAATACACATTTTTTATGTGAAAGTTATCCACAATATTTTCTTTGTTACTAGATTCTTACTCACGCCGCCCACTTATGTTTTTATACGAATTCTACAAAATTACAGGAAAGGAAGTAAGATTAGTAACAAAGAGGATTTGAAAACATGATATTATTATTTCAGATCATTTTTCATTTTTAATGGAATAACGAGAGTCGTAGCGGAATTTACCAACGGAAAAGAACCGTATATTTAAAACCTGTTGGACTCTAAAATAAAATTCTTCGATAGTAGTCGATAAGATTTTTTTTAATGATTTATTGATCAGAAGAATGAGTTTAACTATTGTTTAACGTAGAATATAAGAATGAGAAGCTTCTTTTAGAGTTAAAACTATGTTATTCGCTGCAGTCTTGCGTCAGTTTACTTATTTCTTAGTTAAAAGAGTATACTAGATTGTTACGTATATTGTTCTGCCACAAAACGTGGCATTTCTATTGACTTGGTAGATGTTTCTCTGTTAAAAGTGTTCACATTCGCACGATAGTTTCTTCGACTTTTTTCTATTCACTAGAAAAATACTGCAGGGATCGTGCCATCAGAATTATTCCTACCGAAACTTCTCAGTCGCAAGATTGCTATGATCATGGCTTCGGAGTTAGTCCTACCGAAACTTGTTTGTCGTAAAATTACTGTGATCATGGCTTCGGAGTTAGTCCTACCGAAACTTCTCAGTCGCAAAATTGCAATGATCATGGCTTCGGAGTTAGTCCAAACAAAACTTGTTTGTCGTAAAATTACTATGATCATGGCTCCAGCGTTAGTCCTAACGAAACTTGTTAGTCGCTAAACTGCTGTACTCGTCGCTCCAGAATTAGTCCTACCGAAACTTGAAAGTAGTATAATTGTAGTACTTGTGGCTTTGGAGTTAGTCCTATCTAAACTTTTCAGTGTTAAATTGCTGTATTCGTGGCATCGGAATTAGCCCTAACGAAACTTGTTTGTCGTTAAATTGCTGTATTCATGGCTCCAGCGTTAGTCCTAACGAAACTTGAAAGCAGTATAATGGTAATATTTATGGCTTTGTCAGTCGTAAAATTGAGGTGGTAATGGATTCAGTGTTAGTCCTAACGAAACTTCTTAGCCATTAAATCGGTGTAATCATGGCTTCGGAATTAGACCTAGTTATATTCAAGTTTTCTATTAATAAGCTAGATTTTTATTAGAATATGCTTTGTGCCGCACACGAAGAGTGTGAAATAATTCATTAATTTCATTGGGCATGTTTGTAGTGGCAAAACAAATTTGGGGAATTCTGCTGTGAAGAATAATGAATTGAAGAATAAATTTTAGCATGAGTTGTGTTTTACAATAACAAGTATTTTAAATTCACCAAATGCGTGTGAAATATGAGAACAAAGAAAAACAAGTCAGATACATCATAACAATGTAACGCACAAAAAGTTTTTGCTTGAGTGACCTGAAAAAGAGAGTAAAATTAAATTTAAAGTCATACCATAAAATATCTAAAAAGGGGGCCGATTAATATATGATCCGTAAAGAGCGAGCAACACATTATTAAAGAATGAACAATACAGAAAGTGAGAAGCTTATTAACAGACGCGCAGTGCAGATTATTAAAAAACGAGTAGTTTATATAGATTATTAACCCTTAAACAGCGATTGATATCACATGATGTTGGCGTAGGCGACTGCGGTTGACATCATATGATGCAAGCATTTCGCGCGCAACATTTTCAATTGCCCGCCACAAAAATTCGAGACTTTTTGGGCATGGGGTGGTAGGCAGATTTACACAAGCCGCAAACGAAGGGTTAAAGACTGAGTAGTCTATATAGATTAGCAAGGAGCGAGTAGCGCAGATTATTAAAAAGCGAATACAGTATATAGATTTTCAATGAACGAGTAGATAACATAAGATTAAAAGAACAAGAACAACAAATTAATGAGTGAAATTTTAAAGAATAAGTAACATAGATTTTTAAAAAACTTTGAAAACCTTTCAAAATCGAAATCATTCGGGTACTAGCCGAGTCTAAGAACATCATGGGAACTAAAATTTTTACATTTGTTTTGAGAAGTCCCCCGGTGGGTTAGCGGTAAGTTTACGAACTTACAACTGTAAAATTCGGGGTTCGATTCCACGTGGTGGACAGTCTGTAGATTGTTTAGTTTAGGCACTAAAACAAGTACAAATTTTGAGTGAAGAATACAATGAAAACAATATTTACTCCAACGAAGAATTTAGTATTGGGTTACTTACGATCAATTTGTTTGTTGAATTTTCGCGCATAGATACTCGAGAGTTAACTGAGCTAGCTAGACGTTGATAATCTAGAAATGATAGGCTACACGTAAGATAGCTAGTTAACACCGCCCACCGCCAACTCTTGGACTACTCTAATCGAATAATAGGATTGATCGTCACATTATAATCCCTCTTCGGCTGAAAGGGCGAGCGTGTTCTGTGATGGGGTTGAAATCCTCGAACTTCCGATTAGTTGTTGTTTGTTATTAAGCACAAAGGGCTATCAGTGCTCTGCTCACCACGGGTATTGAAACACGGTTTCTTGCAGTATAAGACCGCAGGCATAGCACTGTGCCACTGGGGGGAAGGCTTTCCGATTAGAGTGAGCTAAATACTTAGATCAAAACTAGAAAATCAACATTGAAAAATAAATTACAAATCGTATCAAGCTGATTCAGTTAGGTTCATGTGCTGAATGCATATATTGTTACTTGAATGACTTTATTTATATGCTTTTTTGGAAAGCTTTCAGGTGGCTCAACAGTAAGCTTGAAGGTTTGTCACGCTGAAATGCGGGGTTCGATCAGTGTGTGGGCACAGCACTGTGCATTTGTTCACGCAGTTTGATGATATGAGTAGAATCTCAACCAGTTCTTTTACAGTCCTGGTATTGGGCGAAAGGTCTCATCGGCACTGCATTTAACATGTATATTGTCATACATTTTTTTTTACTTCACTCTTAAGTCCTTAGAAGAAGAATGGTTTGCTTTCTGATTCTTACGTAATAACAGATTTCTAAAAAAAAATAGCATATTGATACTACAATTGATAGGCTAAAAACCTCGAAATATGTCAACTATTTCCTGTTCTGATACATACATATGGTTCATATTATTTTAAGACTTGGGTGAAATCAACAGAACCTTCGCTACTCCTTAAACTGCGATTTACCTCTAATTAATATTAGTAAATGAGATGGGTAAATAAAGATCAAGGAAAGTACTTGGATAATTGAACAAAGACTTGTGTGAAATCAACAGAACCTTCGCTACTCCTTAAACTGCGATTTACTTCTAATTAATATAAAGGAGATGATGAACTACAATAAACTAGTGTCATAACAAACACAGAAACCATAAATATTACTTAATAAATTTAGATTTTCTTAAGAAGCAAAATACGCTTCTACATACATAAGTGCTGTTGATTGTGCAAACAAAAATAATAAAAAAATAATTTTATAAGCTTGATTTTGTTCACGTTTTTCCTTCACCGACGTAAATACCTAAAGTAATAAACGAACTAATTTAAGGAAAAAATAAACGCAAGATTGCGTCATTTAAAAAAACTGAACATTCAAAACTTGGTGTTCAATTATCCAGGTACTTTCCTTGATCTTTATTTACCCATCTCCTTTACTAATATTATTTAGAGGTAAATCGCAGTTTAAGGAGTAGCGAAGGTTCTGTTGATTTCACCCAAGTCTATGTTCAATTATCCAAGTACTTTCCTTGATCTTTATTTACCCATCTCCTTTACTAATATTAATTAGAGATAAATCGCAGTTTAAGGAGTAGCGAAGGTTCTGTTGATTTCCTCCAAATCTATGTTCAATTATCCAGGTACTTTCCTTGATCTTTATTTACCCATCTCCTTTATTAATATTAATTAGAGGTAAATCGCAGTTTAAGGAGTAGCGAAGGTTCTGTTGATTTCACCCAAATCTATGTTCAATTATCCAGGTACTTTCTTTGATTCTTATTTACCCATCTCCTTTATTAATATTAGTTAGAGGTAAATTGCAGTTTAAGTAGTAGTGATGTTGAAGACGTTCTTTTACAAGTTTTTGTTCAATTAAACAGATACTTTCCTTAATTGTTATCATTCCTTCGTACTAAGTCAACCCGATAATTTTGAAGTCGTCGTCACGCACAGTTGCTTCTTGAATTTAAGTTTCTTTATGTTGGGAAATGTAAATTAGTTTTGCCAGTATTCGTGAAATAAGTTTTTTACGTACACATAACAAAATATGCTTCTTTGGTCTCGGAAATAATTAAATTTCACTTTCAAAATATCATTTGAGCGGATGCCATCTTGAATACGTCGTTAACAAAAAGCTAGCAGGAGAAGAAGAGAAAAAAGGACATTTCTTTATTAGAAAAAAAGTTCGCCAAAGACTGTTATTACACAACATCAAATCGCTAGATATATCTGATGTACTTTAAATTAACGAAGAGTACTAGTTGGAAACGTTTTTCTCCCCAGTGGCACAGCGGTATGTCTGCGGACTTACAACGCTAGAAACCGGGCAGCTTTGGGCTTAACTTGAAAAACAAACAAACAAAACATTTTTCAAATGAAAATAAAAATGAAAGTTCTATCAAATTAATTAATTTGTGTTAGGATACTACAAGTGAAACCCCATATCGTATTATATTTCCGTCCCCAGGTGGGCTAGAGATAAGTTTCCGACTTACAATGCTAAAATCCAGGATTCGATTCTCCGCGTTGAACAGAGAACTTAACGCTAAAAGAACTAATCAATTATACCTCCACTTGCTATGTTCTTAGGAATAACTCAAACTAAATGTTTATTTGTTATTAAGCTTTCAAAACAGAAAGCGAATTTTATTTTCAAACATCACTCAACCTTTTCAGTGTTTATTTGCCCTTAAATTTTTGTGCATTAAGCGTACATCTTTAAGCAGTATACGAATTATCAATTTAAACGTTCCATATGCAAGGCAAACCACACCACATACAGTAAATGATAGGGTTTGTTCTGTTTCATTTTTGGTTTGTCGTTCATTTTTAGTGTTGTCTGTTTTCTTTTACGTTGTTAGACCGAATAATGAGATTTGACCATCACCTTTATAACGAACGCATCCACACCTCCAAAGTGCGAAATGCGGGTTGTTGTTTTTTTGGACAGAAATAGGTCACGAACCATGAAATCTCAGCTCCACAGTCCAGCATGTTAACCACTAGGCCGCACTTGGCCCACAAAGTGCAATTTCACTGACCACTAAAACAAAATGAACTCGAGTTGTTTAAATCAACTGGTTTCACTGACCACCAAACAAACAAAAATAGACACCTCGGTTATTTAATTCAGCTGGAGTGATTCAAGAATCTGATAGAAGGAACTTTGCTTGAGTTTGAAATATAAAGTGTTAAAAAACAACAGGTTTTTATAGCTGTTTGTGGAATGTTTTTGTTTATTTGTACCGAAACGTTTTAGTAAGAATGTAAAGAAAATCATGATTTTCCGTTCAGTAACCTTAGCTATAGAAAATCTTTCCTTATTATAGTGATTTTATCTGTTTCTCACCCCCTGTCATCAGACGTAATTACAAAATTCAGAAAGACGGATTTGAGCCTGGATTTAACCCCCTAATGTTAATATGCACAAACAGTGTGAGAACCATATAGGCTACTGTAACCGGTTTGTATGGTTAGGTAATGCATCATCAGAACAGTGCAAGCTAATAAGGCGATGACGGTGTCGATTTCCTACCGAGAGGAAAACAAACACTTGCCCCTAAAAGCTACAGAAGATACGTTATAGATAGGTGGTGTGTGTGTATACTAACTAGACTCTGTAATATGTAAGTGACTGAATAAAATACTAGGGTGAGGAAGGTGTACTGTACGTAATAACTGTGGGAAGGTTTGATATTTCCATACACACCTCCCAAAATGATACGTTCAACGTTGAAGATAACAACCGGTTCCTTTATTTATATACACATATATGTACCTGTACGTGTTGTGCAAGTTTTTTAATATTTTATATTCAGGCTTGTTTGTATGCCAAACATGATTTCAGGTGAATTCAATAATTAACCTCGTGTGTTTGATGACCAGTATACCTCAGATGGCAAAATCACCAAAGGGGTATTGATGTCAATTGAATGGCAGACGGACAACATCCGTACAATATTGTTCTATGATATCGTACAGTTCTGAAACTTCTCGCGGACTTTAAAATACTTAAGAAACGCACTTAGTTCAGGAGTCATATCTGATTAAAGGCTTTCGTACACTTTCCTGTTGTTTTTTTTTACAGTTTAGGAAGTCTTAAAATAACGTACCAGTGATCGTAGTTTATAGTTGTCTAAGTATTTAGTTACTAACCCATATTCGGCTTAATTTATGTGAGGTTTTCACCCATATATATTTAATTCTATAAAACAATGTTTCAATAATTAAAGAAAGTATTTTACTTAAAAAAACGCTATCTTAAAACATTCTCGAACACTATTTTTTTTCGTTTTTTTTTTGTTTTTTTTGTAAACCAGAAATGGCAACTTATTCTTATAAAATGCGTCACGTGACTAGGACTGATTGATTTATGAACAATTCTAATTCACATAACGCAGGTTATGTATTAATAGAGTTAAATGTGCAATCGTTTCCTGCTTTGTTTGGTAATCTTAAAGTACTTATTAGACGAACAAATGTACGTTCTTGTTCAGAGGCTGCAGACACACGTGCTACTTTGGCTTCTTGTCGTCTTCAACGGTTCTCTTGACGATCAATACAACCAAAGGGGGAAGTTTTATTTCACTGTAGAACAGATGGTAGAACATAAATAATGCTTATTTTTTTCTGCTTCACAGGAACGCCGAGATCTTGTTGGTGGTCATGGCTCTTCATTAGGCCCTATTACTAGTATCGGAACTGGAGTCTCCACAGCTAATTTTACTTCTACTCCTCGTCTGACCCATACTCCTAATTCTCCAGAGTTTCAGCCGCCTTACTTTCCCCCTCCTTATAACCTCCCACAGCAGCAGCTGGAGTTCCACCACGTCGCAGCTGATCCCTACGGCCATTTGAACAGTTTGACTGCTGTTGCCCAACATCAGCAACAGTACCACCAGCTTCATCCACCACAACGTACAACCAGTGTCCTTGGTGCACGACGAGAAGATGAAGCTCTCATCCTCCAGGCTAACATGCATCCGAGCTTGTCCGTCACCTATGACCCTTCCCGTAGGAGTGACCCTTCATATGCTGCGGTACGGCGGCCGGACATCCTTATGCATAGTGGTCATCACGGACTGAGTGAACAAGATCTTCTAAGTCTGCAGAATTCCGGAACCTTACCACCACTTCTTGATGATGGACAAGTGAGTGATTTGTATTCTTTTTGTAAGACAAAGCTCAAGTTAAGTTTCTGTTACGTTTAAATTGTGTACTTGTTAGTTAAATCAGTGAGTCACTGATGTCGTAGTAAGCGAACGAAAGTTTAACGTTCTGGCTAGTTTCTGATGTGTTTAAATTCAGTCATTTTTGTGACTTAATAAGTTACTGATGATTTAGTAAGAATAATTTCATATAAAACTTTTTTTATATTTAACTCGTCTTTATAGCTAAACAAATGATTCTACTAAAACATATACAACCTTTATTTGTAGCTTTGTGTTTAATTACAAACTGTTTTTGTCATAACACAACTCTACTATAAGCCCATTTATTCTACCCGAAGTTAATGACGAAGGATTGTAGGAGGAGGGAATATGAAGTGTAGATGTATAAGTTGAAGTTAATGGAAAAAAAGTTAAGAAATACATCTGAAGTGGACATAGCAAGGTAACTAGATGTACATAAGTAGAATTATAGGTGAATGAAATGGAAAATAACTAAACGCTATGATGTATTAGAAAAAAAAAGCGATATAAATAAATAAACGATTATAAAGTTCATGATATAAAACCGTATAAAGCACACATACTTGCAAGCATTTCATTATTAAGAGACGTTCAGGTCCTTCTAATCTCATTCGCTAACAATGGAAACTTTAAACTACATGCAAATTGTCGGTTGCTGCATCAAGGCCGAAACATTAAATAGCAAAAAACAGCCAACACTAATTAACCGAGATGTCTCTAAACCTGATGTATCTGTATTTGATGGTAAACACATGCTTGTAGATGTCAGATTCAACAAACATCACGCCGCGAGTTTTAAGTGTATAATATAGTGATACCAGTTGTTATGGACATAGGGATTATTGGTAATAAATAGTTCAACTTCAGAGAAAGTTTTCTACCTGTTCATAATTATAATGTGCCCTTTGTCCATGTAAGTTTCTAATAATTATTTTTACATGTACGACTTGTTTATTCATATTCCTTTCGGATATAAAACCGTTTTTCTAATTTAACTGCAGAAGTTGTTTCTCATTTCGTGTTTTTATCTAAAACGCTAGATGTTTGATTTCCTCATGCTTTACAGATGAAGTTATAACATGTAATGTTCTTGTAAAAAATAGTTCCCATCTATTTTAAATTAGTAACAAAACGTGTGACTTTGTTTCTTCTACGTTAACACGTGAGGGTGGTCATAAACAAAATAATTTAAACGTTGCTCATCGTTAACACGGGAATCACTATGATCAACGCATGTTCAGAAGCTTGAACAGTAAACATAGAAACAAAAAACTAGGGTTGCGACGATTTTGGAATCGATCAGTCGTTTTCGTAAAATCGAATCGTATGGTCGGCCATTTTGAATCCAATATTAGAAAACACGACGAAGGTATGGAACTAATCATAACTAAGAAATGGAAACAATATAGTGAATATATTGTACCTTTTTCGAAAAAACAATATGACTGCATGGATTTGGTTTTGGTTTAACGGATCAACTTGTGTCGTACTGTGTGAATGACTGTTTAAAATACAATCCAGTGTGTAAGACTCGCATCTGTCGTAAGTCGCATAACACGTAAAAATTACGGTAATTACTTAATATATTTAAAAGTTTGAAAAGAAACAATCGTCGGTTTTATGATTTTCGTAGGAAATCGGATCGGATTCTGTTATCCGAGTAATCACCACAGCCCTAAAATAAACCAACAATCTTTCTACATCCTATGTAATTGAGGATATTATATTCTTCACCAAGCTCTTCGGTACCATAGTACTGCTAAATATATTGTAGGTTTGATAACTTTAATGGACTGCAACTGCCAGTTCCAGGAAAACGGGACAACATTTCGGTTTCCTTTTCTCCGTTTCTTTCAACAGGCAGTTGCAGTCCATTAAAGTTCTCAAACCTATTGTTGTAAGCTACATTTTAACATTTCAATTAAGATGTTTGATAGAGGGGGCTGCTATTCATGATGATGGAATATCTAGAAATATGAATAACCAGTGACGAATTGTTCAGATTGTGAAGTATTCGGTGAGTTAAGTGATAGAAGATGATAACTCGAGCTAGGAAATTCTCTAGGTAAGTTTATTTCCGAGTTTTGTGTACTTATCACTGGTCTCAGAATTTCTATTGAAACATTGTTTGTGTACTTAGGCCAACAACTGCAAGTGAAAGTATCCTGTAGAAAAGATTAAGAAAAAAATGAATCAATTCATTATCGTTACGTAGACTTGGACTTTTACCCGATAATCCAAAAAACCTGGCCAACAATAGAACATGTTAGAACAATGCATTTTAGGGTTGTGGCCTGGCTAACAATAGAAAATGTTGTAACAATACATTTTAGGGTTGTGACCTGGCCAACAATAGAATATGTTAGAATAATGCATTTTAGGGTTGTGGCCTGGCCAACAATAGAATATGTTAGAATAATGCATTTTAGGGTTGTGACTCGGTATAACTTTTCCTTTTCTTCAGGGTTTAATTGTAAATAAATCAAAATATTTAAGGACATAGCACAACCTAAGTATCATTGTATGAGCTCACCTTTTATAATGAAATTTATAATATCAAACAAATTTGTCTGGAACTATAAGAATGAAGTATCTTCAATAAGTGATACTCAATTCAAAGATCAAATATTCTGTTTTAGGCTTTTCGGTAAAACTTGAATTTTAATATTACCTAAACATATATAGAATGTGTCCATCCCTCATATTCCCGCGTTTTATTTATGATGTCGCAAATTTGTATACACAGATATAATAAAAGAAATGGCCATAAAACTTTTCATATTAATCTATTTCAGTTTCCTATTAAAGGGAGCGCTTTTGTAGCCTTGAAACATCATCACAGACCCTGGAACTAACTCGATTCTTAAAGAACGAGCTTTTGATCGCTTCAAATCGTGATTGTTTGTTTGAAAAATAACAGACAAGCCTCTGTAAATGTTATTAAACCATTGCCAACGTTAAAGCATTCGTTTCTATTTTATTTCTCAAATATCCAACAAACACTCCTCTATTTAAAAGGTCCAGTGTCAACGCCGTTTCGGAATAAGTTCTGCCCGGCCTCTCAAGCGTAGCGGGCCCATGCTTTTCCAGTGTTTCCCTAATGGATGTAGTGTGAAGCAATATAGCTTATAAACTGTCCAGCCCCTCGTCAACTTCACGCTAGTGTTGTGAGCGTATTGAATACAATCTGGTCGTAGAGTGCAAGCGTAACCATTTTGTATTGTGTTTTTACCCTTAAAGTCTCTCTCGCCGACACAAAAACCACGTGTACACAAGTTTCAGTTCAAGATTCAGATCTGAGATTAACCTTGTCCACGAACATTTGTGTTAACTTAATATCAAATTATTTCATTATTCCTCTCTAAGATTGTAAGAAATGTCAAGGGTGATTATACAAATGTATACACACGACTTACGTCGACGATAAGACTCGTAATTCTTCTCCTCGCATGGCTGATTTCTATTGTTTCTTTTGCTCTTACTTTTCTCCCATTGGGAATACTGTAGCTGGTAATTAATACAGAACTATTATATAAATCACCCACTGAATTCTTAATCAAAACCACATGTTTGTTATTAACAAATATTATTCTTCTTGAATCGCATAAATGCGTTAGTGTATCGTTATTATTATTTTTTTGAATTACTGTTGTCAAGGCCTTTTATTACTACTTTCAAATTAAATGGTACAGTCAACACAGTTCAAGTTAAATACGATGGTTGATAAAGTAAAGTATTCTACAGTATTTGTCTCACTAATTAAAGCTTAAGAAATCTTATCAACTTGGCACCTGGTGCCAGATTTCAATAGAAAGGGATGCACCGATGATTGAAATATATTTACTGTCGAAAGTCGTAGTTCTTTTTCAGTGTAAATCACAGTATTCACCAAGTCTATTTTTACATAAACAAATAGTTTTACTATGAGTAATGTGCAAGTTGTATTCGATGCAGGGCGATTTGAAATAAGAGTTAAGACTGGTCGACAAGTAGTGTGTTTTCGTATTTCGGTAAATATGTTGTTCTAAACCTTAATACATTACCACTTAGATATAGGATGTTGATATAGGTCTAATAAATCTTAGATAACTGATATATGATGTAAATGTTTTGTAGAACCGGTGCGGAAAATGTCTCATATTTGTTTGAAGAAAGCCACTTTATGTAATTCAAACTTTTAACATTTTTCTACCCATGCTGGTGTTTATTTGAATAGGTTTTATTACCTTTAAGATGCGTGCCTCTAATTAAGAAAAGTCACTGGAAACTCATTAGGTGTTAACGTAGTGTTCATAATGAAACTCGGTAGGTGGTAACGTAGTGTTCATAATGAAACTCGGTAGGTGGTAACGTAGTGTTCATAATGAAACTCGTTAGGTGGTAACGTAGTGTTCATAATGAAACTCGTTAGGTGGTAACGTAGTGTTCATAATGAAACTCGTTAGGTGGTAACGTAGTGTTCATAATGAAACTCGTTAGGTGGTAACGTAATGTTCATAATGAAACTCGGTAGGTGGTAACGTAGTTTTCATAATGAATTCGTAGGACGTTTTAATATTTGTATGTCTTTCCAATTTGTCCTGGTCTTCAACAACAATTTTGTTTAAGTTTCCTGTATATAGTTTTTCTGTTTTTTTTTTTTTCTAGAAAAGGGTTATGTAGCACACACGCTAGAGAGTTTTAATGTTCACTATATTTTTTAACCTAACGAACTGCCAAGAACTAGCGGTGAGGTAGTACAGTATGTCTTTCATTATAAACACCTGTTGTTAACTGTTAGTCTATTGCCAATTTTATTACGTTCGATTTTTTTTAATAAAACCCTGAAAATTGATAAAACTACCCTGTTTTGATATTAAGTTTAGTGATTGGTAGAACGTTATTGTTCTTCGTTTAGAAACAGTGGTTTATTATTCTAGTTAGTTACCAGTGTGACAGAAGGGTGACAAATAATAATG